TGGGCTCACCGGCTCACCGGACAGGCAGCTTCCTCCTCGCTTTGCGAAGCTCTTGGCACTGACTGCTTCATGACCCTTGTAGCCGATGTGGGCAAGATGAAGCCCCTTCTCACGAGGATCTGTGAGCAGTACCTCCAGCACTATGAGAAGAACAAGGCCAAAATCTCCGAGTTGGATGATGTCTTGAAGGACCCTCTAGATGTTTTCAGGAGGGCAACCTCGGGGCTTCTTGCATTGCTCTCACCAGAGCCTGGGCTGTTTGGCAGCTCCTTCGTTGACATGCAGTACTTGAAGAAGTACAAAGGAGATGGACTGATTGAGAAAGCTATCTCAGAGGCTTTGAATGATGAGCCGAAGGAAGGTGTATACCCGTGGATTACCATGTTTGACGAAGCAGTCTCCAAGGGACAAACCACGATTACTCTTTATCCTGAGATGCTGAATCTTTTCAAGCAGACGACTGCTGTCAACGCTGACAACATCAAGTCCCTTGATTGGGGCCTCATGAAGCAGTGCTTGGAGCAGCGTCCAAAGTTCAAGTCTGGATTGCGTGCAGGCCTGATCAACCCATTTGACAAAGACATTCTCCGTGTCTCCATGCTGGCAGCGGAAAACATCTTTTCTCTTGAGGGTGAGGAAATGCTCAACACAAGTTATGAACACATTGACACCTTGCTGAAGGTCTTCCAGCTCTTCCCTTCCGTCTCGGGTGTGCTGCAGCTGACCGAGAAATTGGAGAAGTGGGGTTCTTCACACAAAAAGCGCTTGGTGGTTGCTGACCTTGCACGGCTTGTGAGCAAATACCCCATCAGCCTTGATGCCCTATGGCCAGAAGAGCTTGAGAAGTTGCCCTCTCGCTTGGCTGCAGCTTTCTTTGACACACCTCCTACTGGCATTGACGCAGGTACTCTGCACAAAGTTCATGTTGCTATTGCGTGGCACTTGCGCGCTTTCGTCACAGACTTCAGTGTAGCCCGGCTGCGCTGGAGATTCAAAGGCTAGAGCTTGTCAAGGACCTGGATTTGCCTAGGTTCATATATAATAGGTGTTGTGAATAGTGCATGTAGAATAACAACCTTGCGATGTCTCAGATTCACCCTTGTTTTAAGAAAGAAAGTATAGAAGTGGCTAGTGCGATGCGACTCTATCTCAAAATGTTTGCTATTGTGCTTTTGCTGTACTCTTGTTGTCTTTGGTTTGTCCCTTATGCGTCAACAATTTGACCTCTTACTTCATCAGTTTGCTCTGTGGTTATGGTTAGGGTTGGGGTGAAGGTGTTTGGTTCCTCTGCTTTGGGGAAGCAATCGTATTCTTAGCTGTAGCCATATTCACGCAAGAGAGCGACATGTAGATCAATAATGTGTAGGTCTAAGTCTAAGTACATTTCATTTCACTGTTTGCATTGAGTTTTTTGAACTTTGCAAGGCAAGAGTCAAGGCAAGCGGGTTCTTGTCGAAGGAGTATGCAGACCAAGTTGCCCACATGCAGAAGTTGGCAAAGGGGTCAAACCATCCTGCTTTGGCGTGCATTGAAGCGCAGATCCAGGTGATGCTGACTGTCTCTGAGTTCTCTAACGGATGCCTGACCTACTTTGAGAGTGGAAACTCACCCGACCAGCGCTTGCAGATTGACCCAGACCATGCGACCTTCTTTGTGCTATTGAGGCTGGCTGATCGTTGTGTCAAAGCTCGGGATGCCATGGAGGAGGCTTTCACCAAGCAGTCTGACTCCACGAACGTGTCAATCAACATGAGCAAATTCCCAGACCTGTCGGTGGATGTCGCAAAAGTTCTCAAAGATGCATCTTTCAGCCAAGAGGTGTCTTTTCTTGCCAAGAACCTCGCAGCATTCCTTGCTGAGAGGCGTGTGATTTTGGAGCGCATCATGGTGTTCTGGGGCAGCAAATGCTGGAAGAAGAATCTTCCTGATGATGCTGATCTGCAAACCGTCCTTGCCGCAGCCAAAGAAAGCATTGACAACATTGACGGTGATCGCATGACAGATGCTTTGACTGCTTTGGATGAGGCAAGGTTGGACTCCTTCTCATGTTCCACTACACTGCACTGTTATTTTTGTAAAGTACTGCGATGATTATATAATCTTGTTTGGTTTAAGTGTGTAAGCTTTGTTGGTCCTGGATTGCTGGTTTGGCAAAAATCACTGGTTGGCATCCCTGCTGCAAAGGCGAAGAAGGGAGTTCAGATTTTCGTGGACTTGCTGAACAGTTGCAATGTGGCGATGGCTATTGCTACTGAGAGCACTCTGACTTTTGGTTTGTCAACCAAATCCAGTGAGACCAAGCTTAAGGTAAGCCGAAATGCCTTGGGCGACATTGCTGGAATGATTGTGCAAGAGTCTCTTGTGCACCCAACCTTGTTGAAGGAATGCAGAACCATCGTAGATTCAGCAGGTCGTGGGCAGCGAAAGTGAGATGTCAGCTAAAGCCAAGGCACCAGTACAGACTGCATTCCGATGCCGCTCACACAATACACTGAGTGTTTGTATGTATGATGTGTCTTACAATGCGTTTCAATGGCTTCAATTGATTTGGGGATCTGGACCTGGAGGTTTGTTCAGCCTAGGGGTGTGTTATGGAAACTGTTCTTTCTTGTGGCTAGCGGCTAGGATGGTGAGGAATGCAAGAAACTTGCAAGAATGGAGGTTCCCGCAGGTCACCATGCCTGTTCCTCACGCGGTGGTTTGTCACCACTGCGCTGCCTTTTCCTCCAAGCAGGCTTGTAAAGGTTTTGCGTCGGGCCTTTTGTGCAGCTAAACATTTGGCGCTAAACCGCTACCCCTGGCCCTGGGAACTTCGAGAGACTGTGGACTTGGCACTCATTTTGCAAGCCAAAAAAGTGTCATCTCAACGCGTCATTCTTGCGAAACAGTTTTTGAATCATATGTCAGAATTAAGATTTGCAAAGGCACCTGTTACAGTATGAGACCCCAAGCTACCTCAAGAACCCAGCCAGAGAGCTTCAACCTATGGTTGTGTCTAGATTATATGCAGTCAGGTTAGTAGTCTCTAGCAACGCTACATGCTCAATCACGCTGTACACGATGCTATACAAGTCACACCAAACAACAATGGTTTGGAATCAGTAATGCTTCAGAAAAAAACTCACAAAATAAACAAAAACAATTCAGAGTTATTCCAAAGACCCTATTTTGCATGCAGACGTTTTTTGCGTGTTTTTCAGAAATATTTTAGACAGAACTTTTGATGGCTACCTAAATTTCAAAAAATACTTTAGAAATAAAGCATGTCTTTTTCAGAAATTAATTATATGTGCTTATCGAGGCGCTGGCTGTTCTTGTAAGTCTCTACACTACAACAACCACAACCACGACCACGACAACGACAACAACAACAGCAACGACAAGTCTCACCTGTTTGCCCCTGCCGCCTGCACTCAGAAAATGAAGTAGACATGCACGGACTGAGACAGGAACATGCTGGAGTTGGAAGGAGAATGAACGTTTCCTGCCCAAAAAAGTAAGCAAAATGAGACTTAAATTAACAGAACGGCGGGAACCAACCTTAATGGAGCTGGAGGAGAAAGCATGTGTATACTATTCAGATCTATTCAGATATGTTGTCATTATATAATTATACAGTAGTTGTCCTATCAAAGTAAAGATCTGGATTCTAAGGCCAACTACAGGAAAGTAGAAAAGTCCACGAAGTCTAGAAAAAGAGTTGATGGTGTAGACCAAGAAAGACACAAAAATGATGGACACTGAATGACAATGAAAGGATAACGAAAATGAAAGGAAAACCCGCCAGAAGTAGCAACGAAGAAGATTGCAAAGGACACCATTCGAACATTAGAACAGCGTTGAAACAAAACAGCTTTAAATGTGTCACGATCTTGCACAGAAATGGATTGATGCATAATTTTTGCTATGGAAAAGGCTGGAAGGGAGGTGCACAACAAGTCAAAGAAATGGATGGCTAATATGGCTACACAGTTTGTTGGCCTGCTTGTGAACCATTGGGAGAAAAGTCTCTATTACAAAAGCAACGACACTTCAACAACCCCCTAGTGGAGAAGCAACGCCGCCAATGGCAAAGAAAAGTTCCCCGTCAGCATGTTCAGCCCTGCAGTAAGCATACCTCACCACTGCTCAAAGGTACCATCAGCAGCGGCACCATCAAATGAGAACAACTATTTGGTGGGAAAGCATGCCTTGTCTCACCGATTTCACCAGCCATGAAAACGCACCACTGCATCGCAAAGGGTTCGAACACATAATTCACCGGCGGCAACGCACCACTTCACCAGGCACAATGAGATTATCCTTAAATATATCCAAAGAGTACGAACCGATTATTTATGAGGGGACAATCCAATACTGCACTGCTGGTTGGGTCAATGGAAGGTGCTGTACTGAACTCTCCTGTGACACGGACAGTACGGTACAGTACAGGTCGACGGCGTGTGTGGTGCTTTGCGTTCGGTCCTTTGGGTTGCGACTCGCGTGACCTGTTTGGAATATGACGCCCTCTCTGGGTGTACCGTCTAAACAGGTACCGATATCATCCTATATCTAATTTAAGCAACAAAGTAAAATGCCAAGACAAGTCCAAGGGCATTCGGACACCATAAAAAAAATGTGTGCACTCTCTGTGAGCCAGGATCTCGTGGGAGGTAATGCAACTGTATGATACTGTATGCCAGTGTGCCAATCTTTGGGGACAAGTTGTGTAGTCATACAATTATATTGTATTGCTGGTGTGGTGCATTTTCAGTGAACAAGTTGGTGAAGTGGTTCTGTCTGCGGGTGGAGTTGCAGGACTTTGGGGACACACGACTAAACTGGTTGAAACCCGTACCTCCCAACCGCGAATTCATTCCAAAGAGTCGCCAACGCAGAGAAAGCAGGAGGAAGAAATGGAAGAAAAGGAGGAGTTGCTGGAATGCAAGAACGAAACCCACAAGAAACAGGCACTGTGTATATACACATGTTCACAAGAATTGGCCGTCTGCATTTCCTGCCTTGAAGGCTGTCATCTAGGCTTCCATCTTGGCGCCCAGCAGTGGACTGGCCAAAACTGCAAGTGAACATCGGTATGAGCTGGATTGTTCTCAGCCCTCTTCGTGACTTTGGACCTTGGAGAATATCTCGGGGTCTCCTGGCCTAAGCGTCTCACTGCTTCAAAAGGTGAGTGGGAAAAATCTGAACGCAGCGTCTCCCAAGGGCACACATTGGCACGAGCGCAGTCTTTTCCGCCTAATTCTACAGCAATCTCTTCAAGAGCTGCTTGGCCATCCTTTCACAGGACCTTTTTGAGAGCCCTTAGCAGCTTCAAGCCCAGGTCCTGGAAACCCTTTGGATTTTCCAGTGACTGAAGATTGATGTATGGGAGGCTCTATCTTGCCTGATGCTGAAGCCTGTGCCTGCGTGCCTGCATCACCTGTAGCTGAGCTTGACATTTCTGAGAGTTTCGGGAGGCGCTTGCCACTTCCAGCGAGGCCTTGAGGATCAAAAACTTCGGCCCAATAGAACCAACGCTGCGGCTTTGCTGGGTCCAAACGGTCGGCGATCCTTCGAGACTCTTCCAAAATTCGAGCCCATTGAGATTCCCCCAGCGTTGATGCAAGATTCCTGCGGACACCTTCTTTGGCAGAAATCGGGTCTTCGATGTACAAGGGTGGCGGTGGTCCAACATGAGATGAGGGAGGGGGAGCTGCAGTGCAATCAATGCCTTCCAGCGACATGCCTCGTGGTGTAGTGGGCTGTGGCGTGCAAACAAAGCTGAAAAATCCTCGCAAAAGCTCCGTCAGATTTCGCTCCGACGGCATCTCTCCGTCTTTGCGCTTTGTCCAACTTGCTCTGCCGTCTCCAAGCTTGGCCACAGGGGGTACATACTCCTGCCGCTGAAGAAAGCATAGCACAAAAGCTGTCCATGCGACGCCATTCATGTAGCCTTTATGTCCCGAAAGCCCATGGTTGGTGGCCCAAAACTTCACCAAACGCACTACATCTCGTGACACTTCACAGCAGTCACACAACCGCCGAATCAGTGTATCTAGAGATTCTTGGCTGGCGCTCTCATCCACAATCACATGAGCAACAAGCTGGGGCGAACCGCGGAGCCTCACAGAAAACTGACAGGTCGCGTGGGGATAAAGCCGCGTTGCATCAGTGGCCTCCAGATTGTTGGAGTGAGGGGGGCTGTGGAGTTTGTCCCACAAACGCGCCATCTTCACTTCACGCTCGTCAGGCGAACCCGGAATCGAGAAGCACACCACATCCAAGTCGGAGCCATCCAACTCTGTGTGCTGCACAGCAGAGCCTGCCATTTCCATCCGTGCGGTTCCTTGCCCAGACAGGGCTGACAGAGTGCCTGTTTGCAGGAATTCTTGGGAGAAGGCTGACTTGAGGAAGTGCACGGCTCGCTGGCAGGCAAACCTATACTCCGTGGTAGGCACAAGTTGTTTTGCCAGCTCTTCCAACTCTAATTCCATTCCACGGGCTTTGCTGCTTGTGATCGACTTCCTCAGCTCATCATCACTCAGTGTGTCCTCGTCCCAGCTCGGCTTTGCTGCATCCTCAGGGAAAGTGAGGATTATTTGTCGGCGTTTGAACGTGTCACAGCAAACAGCAACCACAAGTCAGCTGCACACGTGCTACAATTATTGAAACAACATAGAACTGAAACAAGAAGGGAGTCTAAGCTATGGAGCTATCAAGTCGTTGCTCCTATATTTGTATCTGAGCCTGCGAGTTTCATTGCTGCTAGAAGCTACGTGCAATAACGTGTCAAATCTCCATTATGGCAGAGGGACAACACCAGGGGGCCCTGGTTGACCAAGGCTTTGGGGCTCCGGGTTTTCACCCACAGCCATATCTCGATTCATCCGTTGTCATCCCATCCTGGCGTGGAATAGCCTGGAGTGATTGGACCATAGCAGCCCGAGACAAAGCACGTTGGGCATGCCATGGTGCCAGCGGAGCTGCTTCCTTCCCACTTTCCAGGCTTTGCGCGACAGCTGCTTCGGCAAAACCATCACTGCCATCTTTGGTCTTCGGCGGTCCTTTTGGTGTCGGTGCTATCGAAGTCTTTGGCGTTGGAGCCATTGCGGCCTTGGGCTTCGCTGGCTTTCCCAAAGCACCTTTACTTACAACTTCTCTCGATTCTCCATTTGAGAGCTCGGTCTCGTGATTGATCCTTGTTGCTTTGTTGGGCCCCACATCCGCGACCAATCTTCTTTTCTGGGCATCTGGAGACAAAGGCGCTGGCGGGGCTGTTGGTGCTGATTTACTGGTTGTCTTCTGGGCATGCTCCGGAAGCTTGACAAGCGTAACCGACGATCCTTCTAGACTGAAGACTTCATGATGCTTTGACAAGAATTTTCTGATATGGCCAAAGCCCTGTAGATCATGCTGCCCCCACTTCACTTTCACTGACAACGAAGTGACCGGTGCCGAGCCCCCTTCTTCCTCAAGCCTTGCTTGCAAAATCTGCACGGCCTTTGTTTCCATGCAGGCGCCCGGTGCAGGCCCGAAAACAATAGCGGATCATGTTTCTATCCTTTGGGCCATCCTGGCCACTAGAACCAAATTGCAACTGCAGCGGACACGCTATGAACATCTATGCGAAGAGTCTTTATGAAGCAAACATGGCCTTGCAACCTGGCAAGCACAGTACAGCATGGCAGTGAAACACACTATATACTATAAACCATGCCCTGCAAGTTGGGTCTAAATGAAGAGCTGCAGCTTGACAGGCTATTGTTGGATTCAAGTCGTATCACTGACGAGCAAAGCCAGGATGTTTATGTTTATGTTCAACTGGCCTAATTATGGATCCTTTAAATGCTCATTGGCAATGCTTGCCATGCAGGGCTACTCTTGCTGGCAGCCAAGGGGCACAAGCACTTCTGGAGTGGCCTTCACAAAAGCGATGCACAGCCAAGGAGGGTGTCTGTGCTGTTGGACACTGCGTCCGCGCTGTTTGTAAAAGGACCAAAAGGACAAAATCAAAGGATTTAGGAGGCACACCTGAGCCTGCCAGGCTGGCAGCACTTCAACCGTAACTGTTGAAGCTGCAGCGTCTTCAGATCTCTTTGCAGCAATGCCTTCGCTTTATTTCGCATTTATGTTTCTTGAAGCCTGAGATTCTATAAAAGCACGTCATTTCACGAGTTGTTAGACTTCAAGGATCAAGATTCCATATACAGTAAATCATTGAGGGCCAGGCCTTGCATCAAGCGGCCCACTGTGAGTAGTGGTGTCGACAGTGGTAGTTTGGTGTGAGGCTTGTGGGGTACTAAATGTGGCAGTTCCTGGCGCCACCAATTGAATTGCAATTGCACTTCCATGTCGTTCCTCATGACAGTGCTGAGACAGTCCTCCACAATGTCTGAGGGTGGTAGTTTGGCGCTCTCCATGCTCTCCTCCATGCCTACTTTGAAATTTGAGCAGGTCGATGGGACGTTTAATGTCCTTGTTTAACTCCTAACTTATATATATATATATACAGTCAAACTTTAACACTAGACCGGACACGGAGCTACCCCCCCCCCGGCCGGTGTGTCAAGGTATATAAAAACAAAAACATATATATATATATACGTATATATTGATGCATACCACAAGCATTTTTAACAAAGAACAGAAACGGCCACTACTCTAAACCTGAACAGCTACCACCACAACCACCGCGCAGTTGCAGCAAAGCAAAGCCAGGGACAAAAGAATAAATAAATAAATATATATATATATATATATTGACATTCAACAAATTCAGCCGTCGCGCCTTGCTTGCTGTTTTCTGGCCAAACTGGAGGAGCAACCTCCACAAACACTCATGGGAAGGCAACCAACCAATGAAACTGCTTGCCGCATCATAAGTGCTTGGCTTCAAATGGGCGCCAGTCTCCAAAGTCTGCCACAAAGAAGCGACACGAAGAACAATTGTGGCCACTGAGACAAAAGAGTTGGCTTAGAGGGTAGGCTGGGCATTTCGGAACACAGCAGTACGGTCATTTTAGAACCCACCGGGTCTAGGGTCATTTTGGTAAACATAATTCCGGTAATTTTGGAAAACAAACGCTTATTCTTTCTCCCGCTTTGGGCCAAACAAGCACCCACTCCATGATAAGAAATACTGGGACTGGGCCTCACTCATGGAAACCCAAGTCTCGTTGCAGTCAAGAAATCGGAGAGTGTTGCGCGAGGCGTGTTGGGGGAGAGCCTCCAGGTTGCAAGTGCACCCTCCTACTTAAAATCTCTAAAATTTGCACGTGCTTACCCTCACCTGACGGGTGGCCCACAGAAACCGCTCTCTAAGTTTGAATTGTTCATTCCTGCTGGCCCTCGTGTGGCCCACAAGCGGTATGCTCCAAGTTGGAATTGTTCCTTTCTTCTTTAAGTTTAACTCTGAGACTTGTCTTGCGAACTACAGGCTAAGCATGGCTAAGCCCCACTAAGACAGTAATGGTTCCCAACAACATACTCACATGAGGGTTGCAGTCCAACCAGTTCTCACCAAGGCAATTGTTTTCTGACTCATTTTTGCATATTTGTGTATTGATCACATTAATTGTTGCATTTATTGCGGTGTTTCTATCGCAGAATCGGCAAGTATCCCCCTAGACACGTCAGAAAAACAACATTTGGTTGCGCACTCCGTTTCGTCGTCCGTTGTAGTTTTTGTTGTAGTGGTTGTATTTATTCGCATGTGTTGATATGTTTTTGTATTTTTTGGTATTGCTTCGATTGTTTGGTGGCTATATTTCCTTGGTATTTTCAGAAAATGCCAGCCTGAATGTTGTGTTGTTATTTTTGAAGAACATACAAACTTTCACCCTCGAGCTGCAAGCCGGCAAGCCGGCAAAACTCAACGAGCCATAGGTAGGCTGCATTGTAAAAGTGCAAGAACCAAATGCGTTTTTTGTCAAATGCAATGTGATTTTTGCGTGGTCTTTATTTTCTGTTGTTTCCATATTACTCATTGTATCATTTACAGCTGGAACCGGGAACAAGGTGTGCTATCAAGGCTTTGGCGCCCCCAGCTTTCAATTTTGCCGCCCGCCGCCCGCACGCTTGAAAGCACACATATGAGAGCATGGGCATGGCAGCAAACAACAAAGGACACATGCGAGAGCAAATACTTGAGAGCACAGATATGTGAGCAAACGCACGGGCATGAGCAAGCACACGAATGAGAGCACCCATAAAATTGCATACCCAAAAGCACACGCAGGAGCACGCAGGTTACAGCAAACACCTGGGAGGTTCACAAATGGCCTTCGCTCCGGCGGAATCTGCACTTCCAGTTTGCAAAGCGCTGCCTCCCGGACCTGCCACGAAACCTGCAACTGAAGGCCCGGACAGTCTTGGTGGCAAGTTGGCTTTACGTGGCAGGGGAAGCCACTTTACTTGGATGCGCAGATTTCATGGCTGGCGCTGCCCTCTGGACGTCATATTTGGCCGTGTGTGAATCAACCTATTGTGTCGCAATGCAGCTCACGGAAAATCAAGCAGACTCTTGCACCTCACATGAAAGCAAAAACAACTGCTACCCCACCTAAGGCCAGGTAGTGTAGCCGCAAAACAATCAAAACATATCAACACAAGGTGCAGCCTAGTCTAGTTCACGGAAAACGTTGCATGACAAATGAACATATGGTCCAAGGTCGAAGGAAATAAACATTTTTGATGGTCATGAAACATGCTGGAACTCTTCTGAGCTGATAAGACGATCACAGCCGTTTGCAAGATAGAGCCACAGAATGGGAAAGTAGGTGCTGGACAATGTAGGTTCCGAAAGAAGCTCTTGGTCAACTATCCCGAAGGAGCTTTGCACGATGGCAGCTTGTGTGTGCTGCGCTCGAGGCAACTTGCAGGTAGCCACGATCTTTGCGCGAAGCAGCTCTCACTGCCACAGCTGGGCAGTCTGGATTCGGTAGTTTCGCCGCAGCAAAGCCCCATTGCTGACTGCCCGAGGGAAGGCCCTTGCCGACCCTAGAGTCGCCCGCAAGTGCTCGACGGTGTCCAAGTCTGGCACGCACCCTGTTCACACTGGGTAAGGCGGGCAAGGTTAGTGAGTGGAACGTGTGAATGATGGTAGAGTCCATGACCTCCTAGGTCCACTGCCTACATGCCCCCTGCTTCTTGAAGGAATCATGGTCATGGTCACGACTGGCAACCAAAAGGCTGACAACAGGACGACTCTTCTAAAGCAAGAATTAAGAATCTTCCGCTTGTGATAGTGGGTTGCACACACACAGCAAGAAGCGCGTTCAAGAGCTGCCACACGCAGGGTCGTTTTTGATAATAGTTAACAAATTGTTTGATTGCCAATCCAGCACTTTTTGTCCCCAACCTTTTGTAATATTCTCTGATGTAATTACATCTTTGTACCCAGTTTTATGCATTCTATATATAACTAAGTGATATACAAGTCTTATTATATAAGTGATACATACATAAATAAATATATATATATATATAAACTCAAGAACCCGCTCTTTTTAACGGCGCTCCGCAGTTTGTCACAAAAGTTCTCGGAACAACACTCGAAAACTGATCACTCACAGATCAGCAAACCCTCTCTCTGGGTTGGCCTAACACACAGGCCTGTGGGGCACAGTTTTCCTCACAAGCCGAGAGCCCTAAGCCAAGCAATCTTTTTTGTGAGCAAAAAATTGCAAAAAAAGACTTCCTTCCAAGCCCCCCTTTTCTTGCGCGAGAGCGCGAGCTCAAGTGTGATGGAAAATGTTGGTGGTTGTGAAACACTCGAACGTAGGGGGTAAACTTCTGAGTCGGAAGCTTCATGTCCGCTAGAACAGCCATGCCTTCATTAGTATAAATACGGGCTGTTTTCGCAGCTTGCCAACGCCCAGGTCACAGAGGTCCGAAATAGCCACATTTTCATGAAGTCGGCTACGTCGCCTGCCGTAGTGAGTTTAGGCCTCACCAAAGGCGGCAAAAGAGTTGGAGCAGCAGAGTCCATCACGGTCACAGTTGACATTGCCTTAAAGTGGCTGTGGCAGTGGAAAGCGCAAAATGCGCCCTCGGCCGAGTTTGTTGCATCGGTGTCCACTTGGAGGAGACTTTTTAAGACATGCTTAGCCACTTTGGAGATCACCCTGTTTGAGTTCAGATCACTCCCTGCGTAGAGGAGGGGCGACCTTTTGGTTCGCCAAGCACGGGTCTCTCGATAAACTTTTGATTTCCCCTGTGCGCAACATGCCGTAAAAAGCTAGGAGCAATGATACCCCAAAGCCAAAATGGCCATGAAAAAAGCTCCAGCCCACCATAGCATGAACAGCAGTCTCTGTGAGAGGCGGGGCCCGGTTTGGTACCTCGTTTGTGTGCCATGTCTTAAGCAACCTCCAAGTAGCCGGCAGCTGCCCCTTCAGCTTTGGATCTGCGTCCTGGAGGCCAGCAACCGTATCTGAAGCCAGCCCTCGGCCCTCGCCCTCCGACCTAGGAATTCAATGTATTCACTCAGGAGCCCGTCCAGGTGCTCCCGTTTGCGAGGAAGGCTGAGGTGGTTCTGCTCCAGGAAGTCATAGAAACTCTGCCGAGCTAATGTGTATCTTTGATGGGTTTTGGGAGAAACAGTGAGCGACTTGAGGGAACCCAATTCTTTGCGCTGTGCCTGCCTGGATGAGGGAGCCGATGCCCCCGAAGAACTGCAGCCATCGCCGTGCGAGTCGGAGCTTGCCAATCCAGCCAAATGATTCAAGCCTCGGACCACACCAGATAGCACTGTACATAACTGTACCATCAGCAAGCGGGTGACTGGACTCAAACATCCGGATCCACTGTAAGGGGATACAATGGCCCACCAAGCCCCTGTCTGCTGTCTGCGCTCGCTCGTCACGCCTCAACACGTCAGCCGCTCGCTCGAATGCATGCTGCAAGCCGCGCATAGCCCCACCATCCGTCTTCTCGACCTCGGCGGTTGGCCGCTCAGCAAATTCGTTCTCCCTGGACAAGCGGTCCAGGAGCCTGCGCCACAACCACTTCGGGTGCTGTTGCAGGATCGTCAAATATCTTTTTGAGGAGAGACCCCCTCCCCCATTCATAGTCCCCATCTCCTCTCATTGTGTTTTCTTCTTGCCGTCGCCCTTCTCCTTCTTTCCCTTCTCGCCCTTGCCTTCGTGCTTCTCGTCCTTCCACTTGCTTTTGCTTCCTTTTTCCTTGCCCTTGCCCCGCTCCCAGGGCACATTGCTGGCCCGATGCAACACCTTGGCTTCCTGATGAGCAGCTTGTCCAGCGAGATTCACCTCCGTGTTGGACGCTAAGCCGCCCTTCTCCATGGGCAAAAGCTCCATCTGCCGCAACAGGTCTGCACGAAGTCCTCGTGAAAGCCCCTCTAAGCTCTTGAGTCGTTGACACATCACGCCCAAGGCCGCTGATACGAGGCCTTCCAGCAACCTCATGTTCTGACACAGCTGCTGGCGGCAATACTGTAGTATAATAGGCTTCACTCCCGCCTTCTCTGCCTCCGGGAGTGAAGCTCCAAGCATCATCCTCCGCTGAGCTTCTAATACCATAGTTGCTGTCAGCACCCCAGGGTAGCGCCGCTATATTCTTTGAGTGGCAGTCAGAGGCGAGAAGAATTCCTCTGGCGCTTCCTCCTCCTCCTCCGTCACGGATGTGTCTGATGTCCCGCTCGACGTCGATGACTTTGAACTCTCCTTCTTGTTTCTGCTGCGCTTTCCTCGCTTCTTTGCCTTCCTTCGAAGTCTGCGTCGGACCTCCTCTTTGGGATCTGGGCCTGTAGTTGCAAATAGGGCCTCCGCCGTCTTGATGCTGATCACCTTGTTGCGGGCCCTCTTCTGCCTCCTCTTCTCCTTCTTCTTGCTTCGGGCCTTCTTCTGCTTTTCGTCTTCTTCTCCCGAAATGTTGCGCCGCCGCCTCGGGCTTTGGGTCTCCTCCTCTTCCTTTCCCCCTGGCTGTGGCCTCTCTTCTCAAGCCCTCGAGTTCGTCCCTCTCTGCTTCGCGCGAGTTTGACCGCTGATGAACTTCAGAATAGCTTCCGTGGATGTCCCATGGACCTGACAGGTCACCCACGCACCGTCTTCCCCCATCAACAGACTTGTAAACTCGCCCACGACTTCGGCCTCGTTATCCCAATATTTGCCTTGGATGTGCACTGCTTTCATGCCCCGGATCTCCTTCAGCTCCAGCTCGTGTGCCTGAATCCACCCGTCCCCAACTGAATCCGCCATGGCCGGGCGGGGTCTGACCCTCCTCCGGTCTACGACCCCTGCTAACCTCCTCATCCGTTTCGGCGCCATGTCGGGTCACGCGCCTTGTGCCACTTGAACTCACGATCCCGAGCCTTCTTCTTGAGGCCCTTGTTTCTCTATGTTTCTCTTCTTCTTTTTCTTCTTGACCTCCCTCTGCTGATGCCGCGGTTGGTTTCGATGGGCCAAGATTGGTCCTTGCCACTCAACCTGTGCTCGGTGGCTGGGGACTGGCTTCTTCTGACTCGGCGCGGCAATGGGTGCAGGCTCGCCCCACTCCTCGTGATTGGAGACTGCTTCCTCCTCTGACTCTTCCTCGAACTCCTCTTCGTCGTGCTCTTCTGTACCAGGGGCTTCAGTAGCCCCCGCTGCACCTGATGACTCCCCGGGGTCTCCGCAACGGCAGCCTCCTCCTCAACGCCTGCCTCAGCCTAGTTCTTGACTTGCCGCTGGCCTCTCCGGGACGGAGTGCGAGGCTCGCTAGGTGAAGGCTTTGAAGTAGGCCTCAATCCAAAGCCACTGGGATCCTCTGCAATACTCTGGTCCTTCTCCTCCTTGGTGACTCCTTTGACAACCTTTGTTCTTGATGCACTGGATCGAAGCCTGTCGTCTCTGGAGCCTCCTCGGTCGCTGTAACCTCCTTTTTGGGCTTTCTCAGACGTGCCAAAGGAGGCCGAGTCTCAACCTCCCGAGCTGCTGCAGGAACTGCCTTGTCCTCTGCTTTCTCCTCTGCGGGTGCCTTGTTCGGAGCTGCTGCAGGGCCACTCTCGACGACTTCACTGGATCCCTCTTGCGGCGACCCAGACGGTGGCGCGGAGTTGGGCCCCCGGGCCGCTCGCCGTATGTAGCCTCAGGGAGGGCTCCCCCTGGTGGTCCGGGAGGCCCTGCCCCTCCGGCTGGCGCCCCCGCTTCCCCAGGGGCCTCGCTCCTCAGTGGATCCAGGTATGCGTGTTCCAAGATCTGAGTGTAGGATGTGTAGGCACCCTGTAGAATAGGAGTAGCTCGGGCACGAAGCTGATTTGTCGACCCTTCGTGGAACAGAAGGAGGAATAGCCGTTCCACTACCTGGCAACAAGGGCAACGGCATTGGTCCACGACGTGCGTCGGACGGCGGCCTCCCAGTGCCGAGGAGGCCATCCAACCTCCTTAAGCCAGAACACCGCGGTTAAAAGTTTTGGGTCTTTCGTTTTTAGATACGGTACGAGGCCCATATGCAAGGGTTACGAGCATACCTTAAACATTGCACAGCCATGCAAAGTGGCCCATTTCCATCCATTCCCACATGGCCTCCCCAAGCTGGCCAGGCAGGCTTTGGAGCTTCCTCCATTGGTAAAGTAGGCCAAACAAAATCTTCACACCAGTGTGCTTCTGACACCTTCTCTGGAGCACTTGGCGGGAATGTCTGTCCACTTGCGGGCGCCAAGTCTCCCTGGCCGTGACGCTTTGCTTTGCATGGTGCTGGGATCTCAGCTGACCGCCTGCGGCTCGTTTTTCCGTCTGCTCTGCCCACCTCACACAAGCAAATCAAGTGCAACAGGACCTATGTTGACAATCAACGCCCCTGCTGCTTCTCACACTGCTGTCGCAAGAAACTAGTAACCTGCCCCAAACACACCCGGTCACCAAGCGCTTCGATCAGTTGCTCCCTTGAGTGGAACCGATAGATGACAATTTGACAACATGCATGCACTTTGCTAACTTTTCTAACTTTTCCCAAACAAGGTCAACAAAAAGGCAAACACAAAAAGAACATGTAGGCTTCCCAGGCTAGTAAGGCTCGGCAAGGCCTCTAGCAAATGAGCGCGTGTAACAATTTCCCTCATTTTCTCCGGACAGCTTAGTTATCAAAATCAAACGGCCAAATGCAAGGCATTTTTTCTAATTACTAGAACATTCAACTAGTCGCTGAACTTGACAGCTAGGCCCTTGTGTTTCTGTGCTGTTAAGCTCGCGGCTGTTGTTGCTCGTGTCCCGCGAGAAGGGTTATATAACGGTTAAAGCTGGTGCTTAACTTTCAACCTAACATCCAATGTACTTTGCAAACGCACAGCCGCCATTGCTGCAAGCCAATGCAAGCTATAGCAGCTATCTCAGCTCCGACCCGTCAACTGGGCACTGTGACTCAGGACCCTTGGATTTAGAGGCAGGTTCAAGTGTCGGAGCGGATGCGTGGACATGGGTGGATGCCCACAGCGTGCAGGAGACCATGAAGACAGTTGGCCAATGTATCTGAGAAAGGGTTTGCTTCACAAGCGGGCCGATGAACTCATCTCCGCGCGCCATCGAATTTCCGATGTGCAGGCATGGCCGGCAAAATCAACCCCAAAAAAAGGCACCAAACTGACACGTCTATTCTCAACAGTCCATATATAAGATATCAATAGGTATAGCTCTTGCAAGAGACTCGGTGAAAGGCCACACACACACACACATTTGAACCTGTTCGATGCCATTGGACGATCAAAAACTACCAAAACACATCAAAAAACTTGAAGATCCCGGAAGGAGAATTACCCGTGGTTGAAGGTTGGCCTTCTCTGAGAGGGGGATGCTAGCTACACTGCTCACACTAGCTGGATTGCAAAGTGGTGGCATGCTCACCCTCAGCAACAAGCATTGCAGGCCGTTGAAAAATGAGGCTGAAGTGCGCGGAATGCCAGAAGCAACGCCAGCTGCACCCATTCTGGCTGAACCACTGCATTACACCAACCCTCAATGTAAAATGACTCATGGGTTTGCGGATTACATATCATGCGTAAAGGGCACTTCACGAGCATTTATCATTTTACACGTTGCAATAGTGGCATTGTAGCGCAAGATGTGTGAGCCATGTGAAAGATCTGCCGGAGAACCAGCTTTAATATGCTGCACTTTGCCCGAAGTCGCTCGAACAATGACAGGGTCCTATGCACCATCACTGCAGGAGCAATGGTTATATCGACCCTGTGGTCTCAAAATGTGGGCATGCTCCTTCCTGAGTTTGCAGAGATCCTGGCCAAATAACGTGTTGGCAGAAGTGTACCTCTTGTTGCCTTTTTGTCTCGGCTTTGCTTCAAGCTGCTCAGTAAACAGTGATTGGACCAGTCTAACTGCACCTTGCTCGGTCAAGGCAGCAACTATGGGCAAGGGCCAAAAATGACGAAAGCAGAATGGATGCTCTTAATCGTTCTAGAAGATCTACAGTCTTCCGATCCATTTCAATTTCTGTTTGGAATGCGCTTGGTCATATGTTGTTTGTCATTGCGTCGGACAGTTAACAAAAAGCAACCACCCGCTAGGGCCTGGCTGCGCCAGCGCGGAGATGTCCCACAAACTGAGCGTCCACTTAGGCTCATGATGCAACACTGAAAGCAACGAAAAGGCTTGATGCGCATGTCCGAAGTAAAGGCCTGGGCAAAACTCCTGCAGTGTGGATGAAAAGGACCAACTTACAATGTGTAGCTACGTCACCTTGCAGATTTCAAACAAGTGCCACCTGAATCAGCAGGTCCCTCTGCAGCAGGCCTGATTTTCACCTTAGGCATTTTACTTCAGGAAAGACAGGACAACATAGGACAACATGATCCAAGTTTTTGCAAATCCCGTCCTTTTCTGAAGGAACCAAAAAAAAGCAACATGACATGTTTCATCTATATACAATAAGTTTTGAGCTCTCTTCCATGCTTCGCCCCGGAGCTCACCTCGACACAAAAAAACAAGTACTGTAGATGATGACAAACTGCTTACACTCAAAGACCCTGTTTCAAAACAACCGATGATCAAGCAAAAAGAGTATGAGTATCAACTTTCAAGATATTCAAGTCAAGTGTCTGCTGAGTAATGTGTCCAAACATTGCCGCTGGTACTGCAGCAACTCGCTCTCGGAGCGAGCAGCGCCCCAAACTCTGACCTGTGAGTAGCTTTGGCCACCAAGCCCACCATGATGGTTGAGGCAAAAATGAGGCAAGCGGTTAGCGGGGGTGAACAAACAAGGTCGGAATCAAAAAATCAAAACAGCCAAGTGGGCTGTTGGGTTGATATTGTAATACAGTTATAAGTCAAAGCAATATCCAAGTGTGTCCTTTACCCAGGTCACTATTTACCGGTGCTGGTTGAGTGTGCACATACATAACCCATTCTGGACAGGCAAGGGGGCTTGGCGATGAAGCTGCACGTGTTTTTTCAATGGGGTACATGCGTGCCTGATGACACGGGGTATTCGATGCAATGCTCTCGGCTTTAGCCTGTTGAGGGGTACGTTAACACGTAGTGAGGTGCCTTGTTTTCAGAGAAGCCAAGATCAAAGAAAGGGTTGCGTGACGTGAACTGTGGCAGAATGGCAAAGGAAGGGATCTTTCTAAGTGAGGGAAAATGCAGCAACACGACGTCAAGAGACTTATAACACTCTATCGCATGAACAAATTAAGGCCTAATAATAAATCATACCGCTAGAATTGATGCGGGGGGAGGGCCCGCGAGAAATTGTCTCACATGTTACTTCCAGATTCTGAGACTGGACGGGTTTGATTTTTCCACTCTGAACTTTCGTTATGACATCTGTGATCGTCTGAAATGTGTCATCGAATCAGCATGCAATTAAATTGGGATGTGAGAGAGTGGGGGGTGAGGTGGTGGGAAAACCGGAGATGTCAGTCATGCCATCTTCGTTGTTATGGCATCAGCATCATGCATTTAATGGGGCTCAGAACCTATCTTTTAGAAATTGCACTGCTTTTGGGGAGTTCGGTCAATGAAAGCTCATCATAAGCCCTCAGGACATGCTCACTGTGCGGCTAGAATGAGCATACAATTCAATAAATCATTGTATAATATTGTAATATATTGTATAAAAACATTCTGCAGGCCAACGCCAGCCCAGAATCAGAATGACCCACATTTGCCAAAGAACATTCTCCAAGGAAACACCTATATTTTGTAGATTGCATTTTTCAGAAATTTGGCCTCTGTGATCTCCATATCTGCAGGACCAAATCCCAGATCTGCCTTCAAAACACACGGAAACTGTAGAATGCCTGCCGCGTGCTGTTTGAAAATGTAAAAACTTCGAAATTCAAGGGCACCTCCAAAGTGACCTGCAGCCCGGACTGCTGGGATGTCACAGCAAGCTCGCCATCTACAAGCACCTGCAAGTTTGCAAATTTCCAAGGCATGCCAATCCTTCAGTTTTACCTAACTTGAAAATCACTACTTTTGGTTCGGATCAGCTGCAGGGTGCTACAGGGACGGCGGCCCACAATGAACCCTCAAAAAGGACTTCAAAAACATGTCATGTCCTGCTAGCCACGAATAGCTAGCTGACAACTCAGCCATCTCACAGGACTTGACGGTGATCAAATCACTTAGAAAATCGATGAGAAATCACCGCGAACCCCCGCCACAATTGCACCACAATCATTACAACCGCTATATAAATCTCATCCAACCCCTTCTTACAAATCCCTCGCAACCCTGCTCGAAGCAAGACACATGATGATATTTAAAAGTGCGCCTGCGCCCCGTGGCAATTACATTACATAATAAATCCCAGACTGCAACATGTTCTATTCTAGCTGCTGGCTGCTAGCTTGTGATGGGGCGTGAAATGCATACGCATGGTCACTTCGTGGGTGAACAAATTTTGCATCCTAATGTTTATTTAACAAATTGCAGTGTCGAGGAAAGAGGCATGGACGCCCGCACAGGATGATACATGTAAAAAAGACAGCAGGCCAACCAAAAAACACAATACAAAAAGAACACACGCATTGAAAACAACAAACAGTGTAACAGTGTATGTTTGGTTTGGGTGGAACATTGAAGGGTATAAATACCTCTTGAATCCCGATTGAAACCTCGCAAATGCTCGAGAGGTCGCCATCGCAAACCCCTCCCAATTCTACTTACAACAGGCAACGAAACCTTCGAGCTGACCTGAAGACTGAAGACCTCATCTCCGATGGTGAGATGGGGGAAGAAGAAAAACCGGGAAGTGGTCCCTGTTGCACAAAACGTTAGGCCGGCAAGAGCATCCCGCCAGGTTGAAATTACATAAACGTGTAGGTGCGTGCTTCCCGAAAGCACCTGCGAAGGGTTCTCTGTAAAGAGCGCCGGCCAACTTCAAACGTCCAACCATCACCACCACCATCATCACAAGAGAATAGTAATAGTTTAATAATCATCATCATATCACAAGCAACGCCATCACATCGACCATCATCAGGAGCGTCATTACCATCATGATGATGATCATCTGTTTCGTACAATGTTATACTAATTATCATCATCACAGTTGAAACTGCCATCGGTATCATCATCATCATCATCATCATCATCACAACCGCCACCGCCAGCCTCCAACATCAAGATGTACAGATGCAGGTGATGCAACTGCTAGAACGCACCTACATCATCATCATCATCGTCACCATCCTCTTTCTCCAACTGTAGATAGAGATGCAGGTGATTGATGCAATTGCCACAACGTACCTACATCATCACAATCATCATCATTCTAGAGGTGCACAGATACAGGTGATGCATCGGGAATACTGTAACAAGCCTACACAAATACAGGCGTTTGGATTGAGATACAGGTCGTGGGATACAGGAGGCACCTACAAAACTCACGTATACATAACTGCAACTTCGACATCTTTCCAATCTTATCTTAAAACGGCGGGGTGGCCGATGCTCACGAAACGCAACCCTCTGCGGAGATTGCGCGCGTCGGACGAACGAATGGTTGTTGCAGAGATCGCGCTCGTCGAGCGCTCAAACGTGAGGTGAAAGGCGAATTTTAAAATGAGACGCGCGACGTCATTTTGTTTTGAAAACGTGCGTGCGTAAGTGTCTCTACATAATGAGGGGTCTCCCATAAATCTCAACAGTCAAGGAGTCAAGGGATCGTTTTTCCATTTTGTTTCCATCTCTACAAAATGAATCGAAATGAAATTGCTTTTGCCTAAGAGCCTGGTCCTTTTGGGTCGAATGAATCTGAAATCTCTACAAAATGACCCCTGGGCTACTCAGACAATTTGCCTACAAAATGAACCTTTTCCTGGCGTCTGAATAGTCTACAAAATGGGGTTGAGATACTCATTAGGGGCGCTACAAAATGGCACCTCCAAAAATATTTCACAAAATGATAAAAACCGTCCTAGATGGACTAAGAATGAATTATGTATGGTTATGTTTGCATGTATGGTCATAGAATTTCTATAAATACAGGAAGTGCAAAATTGCTTCTACATATATATACATATAAAAATGTGTATATATAAACATGTTTGTATAAATATGACATTGTATACATATGTGTGTTTGGGTATCCTTGTGTAGACTTCTTTTGGGGGCGCAATTTCGTAGAGCAAAACAGCAAAGTATGAATTTTTCTACAACACGACTGTCCCAACCCCATGTTGCACTCGAAAGCAAGATTGTCATATTCAAAACCCATCCAAAAAACAGATTGCCTGAGCTGCTGCCAATATGTGTCTGAAGTGGGGGAGGAATAGAATCAGAGCAATCAACACAGCAACTTTCCTGAGCTTCTGTCCGCCCCCTCGTTGTCATTTTGCAGACTTTCTTCCCAAGGACCCTGTTTGTAGCGCAGAATTGTTACCACACAGTTGTCATTGTAGGACCATGCGTTTCCACATTTCCCTGTTTAGATTCAGAAACCTAAGAATGTTAAATATAGTCCATCCAACATGCTTTCAAAAAATTCACTACAAAATACTATAGAAGACTCAACTCAATATAGCACAAATATCGCTTCAAAATGCTAGACTCTTTATGCAAAAAGACACTTCCACACTCGATTCAAAAGCCAAGAAAATCTAAAAACGTTTCGCAAAGGTGGCAAAGGAAGACTCGGCTCAAATACCTACAAATTGTTTCTTGTTCACAAAATGGTGCGGCTTGACCCTTAAAAAGCGCTCTCTACAAAATGACGTGGAAAGTAAAAGGGGTGTCATTTGGTAGGGTGCAGACATGAGTTGTCTACAACATGACCTGCTGATATAGGGCCTCAAGGCCCACCATTTTGTAGAGGAATTTTTAACGGGGATGAATTGGGGGTGATCTTAGAACCCTTCGCGGAGATCGCGTACGACGAGTGCAACGCGACGCAACATGCAAATTTAGCGCAAATGTAGTGCCGGAAGTACCTTGTGGTGCAAAAGTAGTACGGGAGTCTGAAGCAGCTTCTGGGAGCTGTGGCCTCAGAACTGGCAACTTTAAAGCAAATGTAGTACGGGAAGCAGCTTTGCGGTGCAAAAACAGTTCGGGGGGCACGTCAGGATGTGTATGAGCGCAGCGCGCAGCCCCAAGACACGATGGATCTTTTTTGAAGAAGGTGAAGCAGCGAAGGGCGAGCATATGCGAGCATGGAAGGGACAAGCGAAAAACATCCGGTGCATGATAGGCATGGTACCGAGGTGGCAAACGCCAGAGCTGCGCAAATGGAGTGGCTAGGAGGAGTTGAAAGCCGTCAAAACAAATGCAAAATTGAGGGAGGCCTAGAACAACTTCCAGGGGCGTTCGTGACAGTTCCAAAATTGCCTAAAAAAAGAAGGGCGCGTGGATCTTGAAGGTAGCAATGCTGACTTCTCGGGGCGCCTCGAGAGTGAGCAGTCGGAGGTCGGAGGGCGACTCTGATTTTCCAAGTTGGAACGCCTGTGGATTGCGCGCCGGACGCTTTTCTTGCTCTGGAACGGACGACAGCAGGGCCACAAGAACCCAGAGATGTAGCCTCGCAGATTGGAGTTTAGCCAACTTGATATAATACATATTAATACATACATTCTAAAACACGGCGCAGGTACAGCAGATGCGACCACGGGAAGTCCAAAAGAGACATGGAACACACTTGAACACACACGCAAAAAATGTTGAGATGTGAACGCAAAAAGCAACCACCAAAATCATCCAAAGCGGTGTGTGGGTGTATGTCTGGCTCAAGTGGAAAACAGGAGGGCACTTCTTAACACCAGGCAGTTCACATGCGGCTACTTCAGTTCCAAGTTTCCCCAAAGAAGGGTTGCTCTTTCTGTCTTTCAGGGTGTGATCTGGCCTCGAGTGAGTCGAGAGTTGACCGCAGCGCCAAATGTGTCCACTCACCTTCTGGCAAAGGGTCGCCTGATAAGTCACACAACTGATCAATTCTGCCTTGCTGAAAGCCTGACTGACAGGCTGACAGGCGTAAGCCTGATCTTTGTGCCACGGCAAAAATCCTGAGATGCCAGCAGCTGCCACTTAGGTGTTGCTGCTGGCCCAGTGTGATGCGGAATCCAGGCAACCTGCAGTTGGCAAATCGAACCCACTTTTTTCCCCTAGCGTTTGGTGCAGTGCATTTACTCCAGTGTTCTCACCTTGGCACATAACGCCACTCCATAGCACATTCGCTTGACCTCCGGCTGAACAAGAGCAACTCCTGCCAATTAGGCCTCAGATTTGGCCTATTGCACGAAATAATCTCCACGCTAGCTGCTGAGTGTAGACACGTAGCGCATACCCTGTGCGTCTGCACCTAGCGTGCCTGTCCTCTCGACTGTTTCGCATCCGGGCCCAGAAATCAACCTCGCTCGCAACAGATACATGTCGTGAACTCCACTCGTGAACTTCGGAGCGCAGAGGCAACTTGGTGTCTCCACCGTCCATCCTGGAGTCGGCTCTTCCCCATCACATGCCTCACAGAGATAGAAAGGTCGAGCCTTTCCTCCAGCTTGCGACCTTGCGGAAGCCTCTGGGGGGCCCTTAAACTTGCTGCAAGAAAATATGTATGTGTGATGCGTGAATATATGCGTGCGTCTATGCACAACAACCAACGAGATGTGATAGACAGCCTCAAACCAACCCTCGACCAGAGAGACCTCGAAGTTCCCTCCCAACAGCGAAATCCGAAAGGATACGCAACCTTTATCCATGGCGCGCCCTCAAGCTCGAGCGCTCTCCCATCTTCAACATTGTTTGTGTATCCAAAGGTCCGAGCCGTGGACTCATGTCGCGCTTCTTTGTCCTTCTTCTTTGCTGCTGTGTAGCTGCTGTCACGCGCAATGCTAACCACTGCGAAGCATCTCAATCGTTTGCTGTCGGGCGTGCAACTTGGCGAGTCCACCTGCCAACGTTCGTTCGCTGCTGACCCACCTGAGCTCCGTCTTGAGACGACGGATCTCTTCTTTGACGCAAAGGATCTCAACCCCGGCCCCCTTAATTGCCCGCCATCCTTCTTCGAACTGTCATACAAGGCTTTTGCATCCATGATGATTGCTGAGGTTCCACTATCTGCTGCCGTGGATTCTGCCCTTGAGTCAAGATCTCGCCCAACCCACGTGCAATTTGAACTGCCATGTTGATGTTGAAATCCAAAGTTTGCTGTCCAAAACGTGTGTCTTGTTCAAATCTGTCTGTAAAAAACTCAACTGTATGATCTAAATTCCTTTATCCGGGATCCGTAATTTTCGTCAAAAAAATACTTTCGCCAAACTTTCGCCTTCCTGCGTCTTATCTTTCGCCGAAGTACGTTGTATTTATGTGTGCCATGTATGTTGTGTTTTGTTCACGTCAATGGTTTCTTCTTTACTGGCAAACACAAAATAGAAACTTCACTGTTTGTCAGCATGTGTCTTCTACTTAACTGTTGACACCCTGTACGTCTCTTTTGTTTCTCCTGGGTGTCAGCAAGAATCAAAATTGCAAGAATCACTGTAGTAGCCGGTCACTCAAACTTACTCATAATGGGCTGGGGGTCAGATGTGGCAGGGTGAACTTTCGCCAATCTTGAGCTGAACTTTCGCCAAACTTTCGCCTTTTGCGGGGTAGAGTTTTGTGGCAAAGCCACCCCCCAAAGCAGGAGCAGGAATAGTAGTAGTAGTAGTACTAGTAGTAGTGGTAGTAGTAGTCGTCGTGGTAGCGGTAGCGGTAGCGGTAGCGGTAGCGGTAGTCGTAGTGGTAGTCGTAGTAGTAGTAGTAGTAGCAGCCGCAGCAGCAGCAGGTTATCTAACTTCCACAGCTCATCTAGCTTTGGAGTCACTGCCACCAGCTGTTCAGGAAGCAAATGAACATTCATACAAAAGTACATATATAATCTTTCGCCAGATCTTTCGCAAAAAAAAATTACTTTCGCCAACTCGAGAAAAAACTTTCGCCAAATGAGATTTTGATATGTTCCGGGTCATCGTCATACACACTGCTGACTAGGACCGACAACCATATTTGTATATGTGTGTGTGAACACGCCCGTGTTGATTTTACCAGCCAGTTCTCAACGTTATTGGTACGGGGGTAGGTGCAAAGTTAACAACAGTCGACTATTGCGCGCTGCTTTCCGAGAAAAAACTATGCCACTGGATGTTGGTGCAAAGTCACGCCACCGCGCCTTGGTCAAATGGTCTTGCCCTTCGGACCGATTTCCCGCAACTAATGCCAGCCTTAGCCGAGTTTGAGGGCTGCCTTTTGGCCTATGTTTCCAGCATGGCAACGCATCATCCAAGGAAAGTTGATATACATTCCCCCACCTTGTAAGAGTCGCAAACAAATTATTTAATTCCAACTGTGACAAACAAATTTGCACCAGCGAGCCCTCCTGAAATTGGCTTCCATTGGTGTCCTCAGCCTGTCTTGCTTTCCTTATTTCTCTACGCGCTTCCTTTCCATTCCAATCACGTCTCCCAGACCCGTCTGACCGCCTCCTCATAAAGAAGCACAGTGGAACTACTAGAAACTCGTACCGTTGCCGTCGCCGTTACAGTTACAGCAACAGGGCCATGTCCAAGTTGGCGATCTCTGTTTTTACGGGCGCCGCTAACACATCTGTTGTATCCTTGAGCCCAAGGCTGACCATAGTGTACAACAAAGGCCCAACAGGAGCTGTACACGACATGATAATTGGAGCCAAACGCAAGGAAAGCGCCCGGTCCTGCAGCACAACAACACATGAATCAAGGCAAACGGCAAGAGACCAGTCAACACTAATTTCACGACGCTTGACATTTAACTTGGCCCGTTCGCGCGGTCAAGGCAGCTGCAGTTCATGCAAATCTTTGGCGCAACGTAACTGAAGGGTTGGAGCCTTCTTGCTAGAGTGAGGCTCCTAATGGGCCATACATACCCCAGCTAAAGGGTTTAAGAAGCTTTGGTGGATTATGAGTGATATGCGTTCATTCCCACACTCGACTCCCCCGCACTTGCGGGCCATGAGCTGAAGCCCTCCCAGCGGAGGACAGGAGCCATCAGGAGCTTGGTGGGTGTGGAATTACAGTAGTGAGATTGCGCGCCTTGGGTTAACACGAACTGTTCCTGCAGAAGTGGGTCACTGCGGTTGATTGATGGGGGTTGCCGCTCACAGGGGATTTTCCCGCTTCCCCTTCCCCGAAGGTCGCAAACGACCCAAATCCGTTGCGCAAGACTTCCCCTTCTTCTTGCTTGTCTTCTTGATGGCGTTGTTGACGTCTGTGAAGCCTGAGCATATTAAGCAGCTTGCCCACGGGACCAGTCGCCAGGCTTCAAGCGGAGATTGGCCTTGAGCTTTGACGAGGCTTCTCGTTAACAACACCGCGACCACTGTCACATGGCACGCAAGCATCGGTAGGCTTCCCCTATCCTTGAAGTTGGAGCCGGAAGTAAACCCTTTTTGTCGCGCGACCGCCAATAGTCTTGAATTTCCCTGAAAAGGGGCTTGCTTTGGGCAAAGCCTTTGGGAATGGTTGGTGTCAACCCTTTTTTGGTGAGCATAGTTCTTGCAAATTTGTTTGCGTCGAGAAAAGTCTCTGTCGATAATAGGTGGGTCTTGAATGAGTTGAAGCCAGAACCCTGCCAACAAGCTATAATTACAATTCTCAGGCGGTGGTTTGTCAAGTTTAGCCGAGGCTTGACCCGCGCGCTTGCGCCTTGCAGTTTCATCCTCCGACTCGCTTGGCTGGCGTCAGAGAAACTAGCGACCTTTTTCCAGCCTCGGGTCCATCGCGCTGAAGCTCCAAAGCCCTCCACAATGCCTCGTAACCAACCTCCGGCCTCAGCGCCAAGCAGCTGGCAAGGGCATCGTCGCCACATTGCAGCCGAGAAATCCTCATGGAAGCTCGGCTTGCCAATATCCGGGACGTTTTGGCAATCGAAGCGAGGGCCTTCGTTGCATGAGGAATCCTTATCCTTCGAACAAGCAAGGCGCAGCCCAAGCAGAACAACAATTGCGCCAGCGTGGGCTTTGCATGGTCACGCGCAGATAGACCGTCCTTTCCCAGTGGCTCTTGAGAGCCGTGGACAATAGGACACACTTGCAAAACAAAGAGGGATCTGTTTTGAGCACCGATGCAAGACCAAACCCACCGTCCAGCCCAGTCTAGCTTTGGCAGCAAGTTATATTGATAATTCTCGATTTGCTGACCGTCTAATCACATGGTGGGCCCTGATGCCAAGCTTAAGCCTGTTGAGCCTTAAGAAGAGGAAACGTTTCCCTATCGATGATCGGTGCGATCCAAAGGCAGTTCAGGCGGAGCGGGAGGATATACGCCGATTGCTCCGTCTCAATTATTGCAGAATGCTGTGAAGAATGAGCTGGGCCTATCGGCTTGCCAAAGCTGATTTTGCACAAGTCGGGACGGGATGTGTCCACTGTTTCAAGCACCGGAAAGGTGGACCCACGAAAGTTTTGGCGAACATTGGCAAACACGTTTTGTGGCATCACCAGCCATTTAGTGTTGGGGGAAATGAGGATATGGACGTTGACGGAGCCCGCGCTCGTCAGGAAGGACATCGCAGCAGATTTAGTTTCCGTTATCTTGGCCCAGACGAAAGACTTTCGTGGATACTTCTTAACCTGCGCGCATGCGAGACGAGCGCTGTCGCTGAGCGAAAAAATTGATCGGCAGAGTTGAGTGTACGAGGGCTGTGGTTCGAACAAGCCGGCTGTGCCATCTGTATGCTGGTTGCACGCTGGACTCACCCTAAGTCACCGAAATTAACAAGTTTACATTTTTCATGGATTTACATAAACTGATGAATTTAGGTTGCAAAAAGTGTAAATGGGTTAGCAAATTAAATTCAACGTGTTTTATGATTTTTCATTCTTTTTGACTTGCAAATGAGAAAACTGCCTTAACTTCATTTAAAAGAGCAATTGGCAATTGGCAGACGTATAAAACCACAAATAGAGACACTTGGAAAAAGCACAGGCACACACACTCAGGTAAATGATTTTTTCCATGAGAGGGCTTCTTTACATGAGGGTTTCTTTACATGAGGATTTCTTTTCATCAGGGCTTCTTTACGTGAGGGTTCTTTACATGAGGACTTCCTTCCATGAGGGTTTCTTTACATGTAGTTTTTTAACTTGAGGATTTCTAAAGTTTACGTGAGGGTGTCTTATTTTGCGTAAAACCATGTACTAAATCAACGCTAAGAACCAAGGCCGCCCACAAACTGTCGCTCTTGCTGTCCACCCCCACTGCCTGAAGCCTCCTCTTCACGTCTTTGTCTAGTTTCTCAAACGCAGTAAGGGCCTGTCGTAACTGACCCTCGGCTTTCTTCCAGTTGCTCTCATTGAGTTCTTCTCTTTGCCACACAAAGCAAGCTGGCCCACATCTTTGCTGCTGCCTGACCTATCCTTCAGGGCCTTGCCCTTAGTGAACAAGCCCTGGTGCCAACTGCCAAAGACTGCTTTCTGCACTTGAGCCTCCTGTTCATTCAAGTCCTGCTTCTTGCCCAGGGTCCATGTCTTTGCGTTGCCCCTGACCTCGCTTTGTTCCATATCAAGAAGCCAGCTGCGCAGAAAACTGCCAACAACTTTAAAATTGAACCACATACAACGCTGATCAACTCTTTGCGCCAAACCGCAAAAATATGAACCCACAAGAACCCTAGTGTGTTACTCTGACAAGGTGACGCAAAACATCATAACTTTTCACAAAATTACTATATGAATTTGTGATGCACTTTTGGTGTACTTCTGATGTACTAGACGACGAATGGCCCAAAAGCATTTTTCATCACGTAGGAAGTCAGAGTGTGAGTTATGTTAAGTGTTCAGTGTGAAGTGTTAAGTCGAGTGAGTTGAGGCAGTGTGTGGGTCTCTGTGTGTATATCTATGTCTGTGTGTGTATGAGTCCCTGTCTGTGTGTGTGTCCGAGTAAGTTGAGGCAGTAAGCTCTCCGCGTACTAAACTTGCACTACCAAATCACTAGTTCTCATCTTCCTAGGTCCCCAAGTACTCCGCGTACTAGAGTTGTACTACAGAGTCGCCAGTTCTCGTCTTCCAGCTCCCCAGATACTCCGCGTACTCCAGTAGTTGTACTACCAAGTCGCCAGTTCTCCTCTTCCAGCTCCTCAGATACTCCGCGAGTCCACGTACTCCAGTTCTACTACAGAGTCGCCAGGTCTCATCTTCCAGCTCCCCAGCTACTCCGCTTCCTAGAGTTGTACTACAAAGTCGCCACTTCTCGTCTTCCAGCTCCCCAGCCCCAGATACTGAGTGTGCTAAGGTTGTACTACAGAGTCGTCAGTTCTCATCTGGCCGTCCCCATATACTCCGCGTACTAAAGTTGTACTACCAAGTCGCCAGTTCTCATCTTCCAGCTCCCCACATACTCCGCGTACTCAAGTTGTACTAATAGCCCCTCGCCCGTTCTTATATATCTTCCAGCTCCACAGATACGCCCTCTCGCATTCTTTTCGCGCTCTCGACCCGCATGCTCTCCGCAGAGGGTTGCGCACGTATGGGACAAATCGTACTCTCGCCTGCATTTCGCGCGCTCGACACGCACGACCTCCGCAGAGGGTTGCGCGCACACCGGATAAATCGCACTCTCGCCTGCATTTCGCGCACTCGACATGCACGATCTCCGCACAGGGTTGCGCGCGCAGGGGACAATTCGCACTCTCGCCTGCATTTCGCGCGCTCGACACGCACGATCTCCGCAGAGGGTTGCGCGCACGCCGGACAAATCGCACTCTCGCCTGCGTTTCGCGCACTCGACACGCACGATCTTAGCAAGGCTGGGGTGTTACTAACTAGTTAGCAGAGTTAAGATAGGTAACTAACAGTTGCTAACCCCATAAAACTAGGCAAATTTTGTAATTTTGTGAATGTTAAATGCATCAAAAAAACATTTGACACAAAGTTGACTATTGCATTGACAGCCATGCAAGAATGGCTTTATCAGCTTTTGCTTTTGAAAAAACATCAAAAGAAGAATGAAATTTAAGAAAACCATCAAGCCCAAACTGGCTGGCTTCCAGCAAAGAAAATAGAGAAAGGCCTTTGCACTTTCACACAATAGCATTTTTCCAAGTCTCACATCTCTTGAAAGGTCAGATGTCCAGGAACCAGACAAGTGATCACACCATCCTGGTTCTTGTTGTGAACCAAAGGTGCTACAATGTTGGCCACAGGCAACAAGCAAAGACTGGAATTTGTGCACTGCCGTGCACTGCCATG